TTTTTTTTTTTTTTTTTTTTTTTTTTTTTTCTTTCTGCACATCAAGGATTGAACGCGCAAAGACGCATGGGAATGATTCGTTTTCCAAAAAATGATTTGCGATTTGATTGGCTAATTGTTTATCCTCATATCAGTTGATGAGAAATTATGTCACCATTTGCGTTTCTTTTAAAGATTTGCGAATTTAGCGGGATAGGGATCACGTGACTTACACTATACATTGCGATAGAATGATTAGTTGGAATCGTTTATAACAAACCACACCTTGATACTAGCACTCAAAGACTTAGTGTGTGGAATCAATGATCATGATACTTTTCTGGGCCCGGTTAGTACGAAGGGTGGATAGCGCTATCCGACGGGTAAATCTTATCCAGTGGATTAATTCATTGGATAACAGCATCAAGTTATCCACTGGATATTTATTTATCTGTCTGATAGCGCTATCCACCAACAACTACTTCATTACTACAATCATTACTCTCGTATCACTTAACATACCATGGCAACCAAAATATCATCATGCCTTTACATTACAATGAAAACTTTTCAAAATTCAATTACCTAGAACTAACATTTTCGTTAATAAATGCCATATAAAAATCCTTCTAGACGTTTCCAGATGTGGAAGGCCGCCAAATGTAGGTGCGCACCCAGCCTTTAGAAAACCGATAAGCAATTATTTCGTAATCGATTAATACAAACATGATTCTTAAATGCTAAGAAAGTAGAATACTACTCTCGATTAGTACATGACCTTTTTAGTGAAACAGGTCTCACTTAAAAAAAATAGCAGTGCTTCTTCGCATGCGTAAGTCAAGCGTGCACTTTTCCGTTATTCGCTAGTTCACGATATTAATGTTACTTTAACAAAAAGCACGAAATATTCAAGTTCAATTAAGAATTGAATTAACCTAAGTTGAAGTAAGAAAATTTTGCTTTTTTCTGAATCTCCTTTTTTTTTTTTTTTTTTTTGTATTCAAAAACAGAGAATGTTTTAAAATTGAGGTATCCCTGCAGAGTGATTCAAAGTACATATGTACGTTTTGAACAGGTGTATTTGCGAAAAGTGAAAGACCACACATCCCTGGTACCATTAACAAATTATATGTTATCTTATCTCTAAAGAAAACCGACAAAGCCAAGTAGCTAACAAGATCATTCACGAACAGCAATCGGCCAATTATCGTTCAAATAGGACAATGGAAAAAAGAAAGAAAATGAAAAAGGTATTAATTACCAATTACGATAAGCATCCAATATCATTTTGTTGTGTTTTTAGATATTTTATTTTACATTATTATGGTTCAATCAGTTATTAGTGAACCGCAATGTCATTACTTATTGATTTAATCGCAATTCCGTAAATGGGTTTGGTTAGGTACCTCAATCACCTTATCTCCGTAAAGAAGCCATTTAGATAAACATAAGATAGTTCGATTGTGTGAAAACTTCATAACGAACAGCCTTGGTATAAACGTTTTATTACGTGACAGTAAATCGTATCGGAACTTCCTATCGTCATAAACATAGATAGTAACGCCGGATGTTCTCAAAGGGTGTGGTCAGTGAGAAGGACTTTTAAGTTTTAGAACCAGAAGTAGGGGTGCGTCAAAACTGCATGTCATAAGCTCACTTTTGCAAACCACATCTCAACTACGTTGTATATGAAGCGTCGATCGATCTTATGAGAAGGATCCACATCCTAATCGCGTTTTAAGTGATTTTAGAAAACTCATTAATAATTCATGAAGAAAACACAATAGAAATCATGACCATGAAGGTGATTTTATATCTGATAWAGATTCGTCTTCATTTGCATAAACTTTAACTTGGATTTTCTCTATCAAACTTGGTTCATTTCGTAAAAAAATCGGTACACAATGAGAACAAACATCATAAGTTTTCTAAGCCGTTCAATAATCTCGCAGATCGTGGTTTATCGGGTCTAAAACCACTCGGCTGCGCCTCGTGTTTTATACCCGATAAAACACTCCTGCTCGTTTATTAAACATTACATAAACTTTACTCTAATAATAAACTAAGGCCGCAGAACTAAAAACGGTTGAACCTTTATGTCACCCAGTACTAGGGAGGACATCAAAATGTCAGAATATAACGTTGTAATATAATTTGCTATCTGATGAAAGTTAGCAGGCCGAATGGTTCAAACCTCGTTATCATACTACTCAGTAAACTGATAACAGCCGGCGCGCGCTTAAAATGAAGCAAAAGAGCACTTTTCAAACAGCCTTTTTAAAAAGTGTATTCAAACTTGCTTGCTAACAATATTTGTTTTTTAAAGAAAAACAAGTTTTTTAACGTCTTGTGAAACAGGTTAAATCTGACTGAATGAGGATGTGGATAACCAATGTATTTGTTATCTGTAAACCACAAGGTTTTTTCGCCTCAAGTTGAATAATTCAAAGCCAGCATGCGCATACAATATAAACCCGTTCGTTCTCAGTTGGTGATTTCAAGATCAGATTTAGAAAACATTCACTGAATATTCTAAAAAAAGGTTTGCATTGGATAAAATAACAAGGAAAAGGTTAAGAAGGAGAAAGAAAATATTAGACAAGCACTTTTTATATTCATAATCCTTCCTATTCGTCGTTTTATTTTATCCAACGCAAGCCTCGATGTACAGATAGTGGGCGAGACATTCTATCTTAGTTTTATATAGAGGTTACTAGGTAATTTAAATTGACCTCCATCTATTGGCTTTAAAATATCAATTAACCTTATCTGTGAGATAAGAGAGAATAATACCTGCTTGTTACAATATTATTTGACTAATGACAAGAACATAAAACCAATACAAAAAAGTTGAACTGGAACTGATAGATCTGTAGCTTTCTATTTGTCTAAAGTAAAACAAAAATGATTTAACATGAGTGTTATCTAAGTAATTAGTCCAAATTAAAAAAAAACTCTTTCGTTTATTATGAAAGTTGGAGATGTTACTAGATAAGATGAAATCACATGCATTTTTAGCAACTGAATGACAATATATTTCACTGCAGGACAAAAATGCGTATAAGAAGGAATATTCCAACTACTATTCCCCTAAAACATTTCGTTTTGTCGTTGAACAATGATGAGTTTTATATATTCTTGTAAAATTTCAATGAAATTGTAAACCTATTTTACATCGATTGCAGAGAGTGATTGCTTAGTCTCCTGAGAATGATGCTCATGTTGAATCTTCCGGTATCACAGCGTGGGACAATCACAACAGAGCTACAACCATTGCCAAAATATTCGGTACAATGGCACATTTTGGCTAACACAGAAAATGGCTTTCCTCTGTCGCGATCTCCCCCCCCCCCCCCCCNCCCCCCCCCCCCCCCTGTACAATGTTGCCGTTCCCTGAAAGAAAGTTGGTACCCCTGATCAGACTCACTAACCCTCTGCCAACTTGCAGGTAGTGTTTTGCGAAGTACCCTCTAAAATACTGAAATCTGTCAAGCGTGCCAACTAACTATGGCAATGATTGTAGACTCCATACTAGGTGAATGCCCAAAGATCCAATTGGAATTTAGTAGTTGATTTTGACGGAGAGAGAAAAACAAGAGAGAAGCAACGAGAAACTGATGACTCAATGATTCTACTTACATGTATATGACACTGAGACCGAAAATCAAAACCGTGTTACATTGGTGCGAGGTGGCACGCATTTCGCCCCTGCTCCCATTACTATTCGTACCTACTATTACTGGTCTACCGATCCAGGGAGTGATTAATTTGCCCTTCAGGATCATAAGATTGGATTGCCATTTTTATGTAGTAATAAAGTGTAATACAATATCTTGATACTAAAACTAGCAACCAAAACCTAAGGAACCAAATTCGGCTTTTAAATATACTAGTCCTAAATCAACTACTAAACCTGGTTCAGTTTAGCAAGAAACTGAGTAAACGGAGCGAAACGAAACGAAAACGAAAAAAAAAAAAAATGAAAAGATTGGCGGGACACATTTTTTGTCTTGTGGAGGTGTTAAGTGGAAAAGAGATTCAAGGCAATAAAAACAAAATATTCCTATTTGCAGTCGTAAGAAATGTACTCCTCCTTATATTAAGAAATATATTGAACTCCCACCCCGACCCCTTCCCGCCCGCTCGCCCTAAAATCCTCAATTCTTTACGAGTAGGAAACGAAAATTCCTTGACGTGGGTTTTTTAATATTTTCTTTTTTCCTCAATAAAACCCACAGTTCCCTCTTCGGTTTGACAAGTCTAAGAGTAGTTAAGTAAGTATTTAGTAGGTATATCGTTCTAGGAAGTCAGATAACTAGTTGTTTGTTCGAGAAATTTCAAATGCCGAGACCCACAAAACAGTACAGAGAAACGCTTATACCTGATGTATTCTAAACTAGCATGCTTTAGCTTCAATTGTTCTTTATCAGCGTCTGAGAGTGAATCAAATACTACCGCTGTCCAATCAAATATGATTCACAATGATGCATTGTAAACATACTGTCAGTCTTGATAAAAAGACTTAAATGATTTGCAGTATCCAGAAGGATTACCTATCACTACGAGAAAGTGGCTTTCCGGCACACGGAAGGCGATCCTTATCAAGTACGTTGGTTGGAGTCAAGACAGTTATAAGTCTGCTGTCAGCGTACAGCAATAAAGCATTTCGAACTGCTGCTAGAATCTACCAGTTATAAGACTCTTGATGCTGTAACATGGCTTCCAACTTTACCACAGAGCGAACTGCGATGAATGACACGTATATCGTTATGCAGCAAGATTCTACGCCCATTCGGATCCTCAAGGTCTTGGCATGCAGTATTATCCTGGTTATTGCTTTGGTAGGAAACATCTTTATAATACTGGTTGTTCGGCAAAAGAACGCCAACATGAAGAAGACTATAAATTTCTTCATAATGAACATGGCCTTGTCTGATCTGGTAGTTCCCATAGTCATATTACCGAGAGTAATTGTGGCAAATCTCCTGGATTCAAGCATATTCGTCACGTGGCGAGGATCGGATGGTATTCCAGGCAACATCTTGTGTAAGTTTGTTTTCTTCGTATCAGATCTGACGATGGTCGTGTCGATCTTGTCCATCATTTGCATTGCTATCGACAGGTTTTGTGCCGTTGTCTTCCCTATGAAGCTATCGCTCGTCACCTCAAGGATTCGCTGGGGTCTTATCATTTTTACATGGTTATTCTCGATAGCATGTTTCACCCCGTATTTATACGGTTTCAAGCTTGTTGAAATCCATGGCGGGCAACAAGTTTGTACTTTGATCTGGTCGGAAGACGAAACAGTGCACTTCAAGATTCAACACACCATTGCTATTGTAGCTAGCATTCTCTTCACTCTTATCCCAGCAATACTCCTGACCGTCATGTATACAGTGATTCTAGTTGTAGCAAGGATACAGATAGTACCCGACCAACAGCACACTAACACAGCCGTCAACAGAAGACAAGCCAATAATAACAAACTTTTAAAACTGGCTCTTCTAACGGTGGGTTCGTTTGCAATTTGCTATGGTCCATACAACGTGTTTTTGTTCTATTTGAGTATCAACTTAAATTGGAACATGGCCCAGAAAACGGAAATCAGCACTTTCAAGTTCGTGGCGCAGTTTTTGACCTACGCTAATAGTGCTTTGAATCCCTGTCTCTACTTCATCTTTATTGAGAACTACAGAAGGGGTCTCAAGCGGATCTTAAGGTTGACTCAAGAGCCAAAGAATCGAAATATCCCTGAACTCACCTCTAGACTCACATCTAGAGCAACGGGACAATCTCGACTACAGCAAAGGTCAGAGGAGGATCTCCTACGCACTCCCTTAAAATCGGAATCGCGACAAAACGGCTTGACACTGAACACTACTTCGAATCTCGATGCGGAACGCCACTAAAACCAAATGGACAGAGAACATCGAGTCTCTTTAACTCGGATAAGAAAGTCGCGACCGACAATATCGTTTCACAGTTGTCGTGTAAGTTCGTCATGGACATCAAGAACCTTAAGAAAACATTGCAAAAACTTGAAAAAGGGAAACTAAGAAGCGCAGCCGTCAATCTTATGTATCTATTCCCGAAAAGATCAACAAGCGTATACTAAAAAACGGCTGTTGACAATAAAACTAAAAAAATATCAAATAGATTCATCACTGTACTAAAAAGATGAGATTTATTGCTTGATCTATCTTGTTCATATGCATGCTATTCGATCGGAATAAAGGGTTTAGGCTATATTTGTATTCATCGTTAATAAGTCTTAAGGGCGTCGCCAGTAAGCGCTGTAAAGAAAACCAGCTGTGTCCGCCATCACTAATGAACAAAAATGATTAAATTCGAAGCTACTTCCAGTCAATATTAGACTTCATATACAAAATAGCCTCAGTGTCTTCTTTCAAACAAACTTGTTTGTCTGTCAATGCTAAAGCTAGTCAAACCAAGATAAATCAACTTTGTAATCTGTAGATTTACTTGTTGTAAGGATTCCATATGTAAGTCCAATGGAATACCTTACTTTGAAGAACTACTTTGACCATGTAAAGATACTATGTCACTGTCATATGACACCAGCCATAAGGCCTTGGATTCAGTTGTATTACGAATAAGGAAGCTAAATAAGATTACAACACTAAAATATCTATGAATTTATGTGTGATAAAATGTGAAGTTGGGATTATATCAAGGGAAAGGCAGTTTTCAACAACTGAAGATATCAAAAGGTTTCATTTGCTGGCACGAAAAATAACTGTGAATATGAAATAGTATATCTTGTTAAACTATAGTATAGTGACTTCCGAAAAGACAAAGCACTTGAATTATACATAATAATAAACACCTGAAAAGTATTCTGTGATTGCTTCTGTGCTTTTTGTTTGGGATCCTGATCTTATAAATAAAGGCAAAGCATTTCTTGATGGGCATACGAAAATAATACAAAATTAAAAATAAACAAAGTCAATGCTATGGGGTGTTCCACGTATGACTAGGTATGTTATTTGGCCGGTTTAAAGTGACCGATTCACAGTAGAAAGAAGAATCAAACGTTATATACATAAATAATGACTTTATGCCACAGATAAGATACGCAGTTAATTGCAGGAATGTTATCACCAAATAATAAGAAAATATAAATAGAACGAGACAAAATCAAGCTTTTAGGAACCTGAAGCTCATGTTATTTTTAAACTGACTTAATTTCGACAAATTTAATAGGTATTTATATGTAGAATCAATTAAATAAGAGAAGGAAAGGAAGAAATATAGATTACTTGAGCAAAACAAAGTGATTTTCAAAACAAAGACCTTTTGAGAGACACCAGGGAGCATCCTTTTGATGATTCCGACCCAGAAACATTAACAAAAACACGAGGTAAGGAGAAAAAAATCTTTCTATATTCAGACAAGAATAGAATTTTTTTTAATCAAAGTATGTGTTGGCCTCTTCGACGCCCCTCGGCAAGAAATTTGAAACATTTGAAGGGGAAGTACCTGTAGTTCTTATTTGCTAATTGACGGTAATACTAAGCCAATCAGATGGCATTCTATTCAGACGGAGCGCTAGAAAACGGGTAGCAATTGTCTGTGCTTATCAATCAAGAAATTTGTTCCGAGCCTAGTATTCTGTCCTGATTAAAAGTACCTTATAAGAGAAAGTTGCGCGTATGTGATTCGTAGAAAAATGAAATGGGGGAAAAGAACAAGGATATAGCGGAAATGATAATTATTGGGAGATAATACTAAAAGAATAGTCAATGAATTTATTGGATTATCAGTTTTCGAGCAGTTCGTCCATCAAACAGCTTTTATTTCAGTAGTAATCTTTGGATTTCTTCCTTCCTTCACAGCTAATCCTCAAGGAAAGATCAAAAAGTATTCTTGGTAATTCCAAATTTTAACCCTTTCTAAGAGCAACTCTCCTGCTACAATCAAACTAAAGAGCTCTTAGTTAAATTGTTCAATTTGCTAACAGATTATTAAGTGGCAGTTATCTCATGAAGAGGATTTTAAAATTGAATACTTAGATATTGCAACGAAAATAACACCAAATTCAATGTGATTTTAATACAATTTTTTTTTAAATCGTTTTTAAAAAGTTTTAAGAATAAAGTAAGTGGGACTTTCCATTCTAAACCAATCAGAACGAACAAAAATCTCTTTAACGAACCAATCACATTCCTTGAATCTAGTCAGAAGATTAATGTACGTTATCGTATCAAACCAACAAGACTGTTATGGTTTTCAGACATGCAGCATTAGATGAAAACTATTTTAGTTTCCTTAATCTTCTTCTTTTTAAGTGTTTTGTCTTGAACATTCAATCCTCCATAATAGGATCAAAGAAAAACACAATCTTTGTGGATAAAGCCATAAATTGCATTACTCAATTATTCATTAACCCTTTTTTCCTTCGCTCTTTCTTTCTTTTCAAATTCTTTAATTCGATATGAAAACTAACTATACTGAATATGACAATGATCATGAAGTAAAGGACTGCCACCAATCAAATCGTTGTTATTCTATTCATGCTTTCTAATTATTTGCCTTCTGAGAGCTAGAGGTGATAATCAAAATCAACGAAAAAATACTTGGAATAACATTAAATACAATAGAAGGAGAACACGTTTAATGTTATTCCAAAAAATACTATACTGACAAAGAAAACAAATTTTGCTTAATCATTCCTTACTTGAAGATAAACCCTTTTACCAGCACATTACTCTATGCTGTTAAGCCCCGTTTACACTGGCGATTTTTGCTGCGATTTTTGTGGCAATTTTCGGAAATATGAAATCTTGTGTCTCATCCTTCAAAAGAGACATTTGTCTAGGAAAATCTTGGTATCCTGAAAAAAACTTTACAAGTAAATTCTTTACCATTATTTATTATGGACAAAATCGCAAAAAAATCGCAGCAAAAACCGCTAGTGTAAACGAGGCTTTACTTATTCTATTAGCGATTCTCATTTCTGTATCTTTGTCAGTGCACGAGATACACACCCTCGATAGTAATTTTGCTTGTAAACATGAATGTAATTCTAGGTACAATAAATTGTTGTTGTTGTTGTTGTTAAAAAACCATCTTTATATCAAAGTTTGTGTTGATCTTCTAGTATCGTCAGAACACATAGCTAACGGTTGTTTTGGTAAAAGTGGATCTTTGTGTAAAACGATCTTTATATCTAAGTTTGTGTTGATCTTCTAGTATCGTCACAACACATAGCTTACGGTTGTGATGGTAAAAGCGGAAACTGAAGAAATGGCGGGCATCCTATAGACTGGCCAGGCAGGCTACTAGATGACAAAGGGTTTTTGTTGGTTGCCGTAATTATTATCCCCGCTATTACGATATAAACTGATTCTAATTCAATACTACTGATGGTATAGTTAGTCTATATAGTTTACAATTCAACCGCTATTGAATAATATAAATACAAAGGGGGGAAAACTCAACAAAAATGTGGACTGAGTACTGATACAAAGGACCAGCCTTCTGATGATCTATAATAATGATATTTTAATTATTTATTACTAATTATTGAAATGAAACTATACCAAAAAGACCACTCATAATGGTCTATTAATCATCTCTATCGTTAATGATATATTAAATAAGAAAGAACTGACCGAATCCTGTTATAATAATAGATAACTCTCCCGGGTGATTGATCAGAGCGCACTGGTGTGTTTCTTTCCTGTGGTATAATTACAGCCATTCTCAATCACACACGCCCTCTAGCGGTTGTTTCTGTCCCGACGAAGAAGGTTTTGGTGGACATCAATCACAAGGTGTTTCCATAACATTGTCGGAAAACACAAAGCTACGAGGTCACGTGCCTATAGAATGTATGGAAACGCCTTGACGTCCACCAAAGGCTTCTTCGTCGCGACAGAAACAATCCCTAGAGCGGCGATTGAGAATGGTTGTAACCTTCTATGATATTTTAAAAAAGAACACTCAACACCGACTCTCGTTTTATGATATTTTATAGGTTACTTCAACCCCAAGTTTAACATAAAATTTGTCAAGCCTGAGTGTAATGTTGAACACTACGCGACGCGAATCCCGGCAGCCTCGAGTTCTAGAATGGAATTTGGTGCCACTAGGCTGATACAATTCCAAAATATAAGAACCACAAAATATTTGATTGATTAAGTAAACTTTATTATAAGATATATATTATATATCATTGTGTTATTTTGCTGCCATTCCGCGCCAAGAACACGTAGACGAAGTTCCCATGAGTATGATATAATATACGTTTTCGGGCAGATGACTATAGTGAGCATAGTTTAATATATCAAAAGTCGGCGACTGTCAGACTAAGATAACCTTCATAATAAGAGGTGCTTGGCGGAGTGGCAAAAAGAAACGTACTCTCTTGAGGTTTAGTTAAAAATGTCACTTAAGCACTTAACAAGAAATATCAAATGAAATATTAAAAGGATTCAAAGTCGTCGTCAAGGCGTCCTCAGTTCTGAAAACCCTCAAAATGACAAGGACACTTCAAAGACGGTGATGATGAATTATCGTTGCAGAAATAGTCTTAAGTATGCCAATGTCAAGACTTTAGAGGGCTAGGCCAAAGTAAAGGAAGAAATAGTACAACTGCTTGTCAGTCGCAGGACATGCCGGCTAATAATGAAAATTTAAAACCAATTGAGATAACACACTTTTTAGTTTATAAGCAGAAATTCTAAGGGGTTTCTCATCTCGACAAAAGAAGATCACAAGACTTTTAATAGCGAGTTAGATTTAAGCATTTTACTTGTAGTTTTACATTAAAAATATATGGAAAATTACTCTTAATGCTACAGAAGAAAAGAAAAGACGATAAAGATTACAAATGTGAATGAATGAAGTGTGCAGTGGTGGTTAAAGTGGTATAAACGTTCAAGTTGACCACCACAAGAATACTAAACCAAATGACTTTAGGAGGAGAAAAGAAAAGACGATAAAGATTACAAATGTGAATGAATGAAGTGTGCAGTAGTGGTTAAAGTGATATAAACGTTCGAGTTGACTACCACAAGAATACTAAACCAAATGACTTTAATGCGTTTTAACCGGGCCGGCGTACTAGTGAATACACTATGACGTTCTTGACATCTTACCACAGAATAAACAAGCGAGGTCGATGACTGTTACAGGATTGACATACGAATTGAATGAATCTGACTGTACTTAAACCAAACAATGCACGTGACACCGATTACATCCAATGAACAACGCATGACAAACCGGGTCGGCGTTTAAAACTAGGTACCCCTCTCTATTCACTATGATGAAAATTACAGGAGAGAGACAATAGAAATCACACATCATCGGACACCCATCATTAAGTGAATGACATACGACAACAAATGACAAGCCATGGCCATGATGCAAATTAAACAGTGCAACAGTACAAATCCTGTGAATATCGTTATGAAACTTGCTTTCTAAGTAATCTTTAGTGACATATCGGACAGATCACAAAAATCACTTTACACAAGCTTTCAGCTATCAAATAGAAGGAAAATTTTGTGCAAACAAATAAAAATATTCATTTTGCAATACCAAGAAATCTTTTTGTTAAATAATTCGAAGCACTAGACAATAGAACTGACTCATGTATGTATATAACCTGTTTCTCGATATCACTGAGCTCTTCCTCATCTAAATCAGTGTTTTTGGTGCCTTGTGTGCTCGTTTATTACACGACAGACAACTTCCTATACACTTCCTATTTCTTGTTTGACTTCTCCTCAGGAAGCAAATTCATCTCTTTACAGATGATTGACAACATGACCTCATCAGCTCCGCCCCCTATCGATAATAATCTATTATCTCTATAGGCTCTGCTGACTTCAACATCACTAGTAAACCCCATTCCACCCCAGAACTGAAGGCAAGAGTCCGTCACTTCACGCACCAAACGACCTGCTTTCAACTTTAACATAGAAGCGAACAGGTTAGCATCTATTCCCCTCATGTGAAGATCTGAAAGAAAAATCTTGTTTCAAGGATCGCCATGATAAAAAACAGCCGCAAGTTTTGTGCACATAATTGTGTCCAGAACATGGTGGTAGTACCATTGAAATAACCTGAAGATGTGGTGGAATTTGCAGGTGTTGTGTAGTGCTTCTTAGTATTTCCAGTGCAGACAATGTCCATATTTCGGCAATACCAACTTTGAGTTTTATAAAAACTCTCTGAGAAAATTATTGTAAAATGAGGATTTTTTTTAAAAAACTTGAAAAGTCTTTTAGAAGACACTTTCTTGGCCTGAAACTTGGGATAAACCAAGATTACCACAAATGCTTTTTCTCATGGCCTTAGATTCTGGATGAGGTCTCAACCAGAAATGCCAAGCCAGAATCACTGGACAATAAGACAGACAGACAGTCAGACAGTGACCTCTGTTACTAAGTTTGACCGACAGGTCAACTGAGTTTTGAGTATGTATATTAGAGTTTGTCAGATATTTTAGAAGCATTTAAAAATAAATTTGGTGTTAATGATATTGGTCTTTGCCTTTACACAGACATGTCCAATTCAATGACACACACCAAACCATGGAAATGTAATGGATATTAATTTAGTTGTTTAACTCATTAATGTTTAAGATGTTTACAACCTGTTACATATGATTTTATGATTGGATAGTTTTATAATATTACTTTAGCACACTCCAGAAGAAAACAAGGAAGCAATTATTAAAGAAAACAAAGAATAAACATACTTCATATGTACTCACAAGATGTCCTGTATACCAGGGATCTCAGCATTTCCACTTCTGTTTGCAGCTCAGCTAATCTAAAATGCACATATTGGTTGTCCAGAATGGATTTCCCAAATGCTGATCTGTTTCGGCAGTACTCTGCTGTATCTGATATTAGCCTCTCCATTGAAAGTAAAACTGCAAAACAATAATTAAAATATTAGCTTATTGTCTCAAGGGTACAGAATTTTGTACTAGACTTGTAAGTATGTGCTTCTTGTGAATCACGGGTGTTATAGCGGTGAGAGAGCTAAAAGTCGATCTGCTGAGCTCAGTGTCATTTGAGTAGAGTTGATTGTCGGTTGCCTGTGCTATAAGATTTTCTCCGGTTTTCCTCCCTCCACAAAAATCAACTTCTAAATTCCTATTGGAATCCAATGGAAGAAAAGCTACTCTATGGATCCACTGTTAATTCCATTGTTTTCCCCCATTATTATGCCATCAGTAAAATGTCAATCAAACTTCACCTTGTAGTTGTGAATGTCTATTTTTTGCTACCATACAGTACCACACACATCACAAATTTACTCACCTGAAGCTCCAGCAAACACTCTTTCTTCAACAAACTGCAACATCTGATAGATAAATCCCTTCCCTTCCTCACCAATCCTGTATGACTGAGGAACCCTGACTTGATCGAAGTAGAACTCAGCTGTATCAGAGCAATGCATACCAAGTTTATCAATAGCACGGGCTCTTTGTACCCCAGGTAGGTTTAATGGTAAACATATTAAAGATTTATTGTAGTGTGGGTGACCTTCACTTGTATTGGCTAATAAACACATCCAGTCTGCTTGAACACCATTTGTTGTCCACATTTTACCTCCATTGATAACATAATCATCTTAAAAAAATATGCAAAGAAAATAGTCTATTTTCAATAAAAGAGGTGAAAATTATACAATAAAACAACTAAAATGAATCCAGGACCACTGTTGGTTATTATATATTCAATAGCCTGATGCTGGATGCAGACTGCAGACCAGAAAAAAATATCGAAAATAACTGTAGAAAAAATACTCGAACCTATTAAAAAAAAAACAGTGAGACAAAACATAAATATAGTAAAAATACCGACAATAATGATGAAAACACTCACACGCTCCAAGCTTATTTCAAAACAAGACTTCTTAAAGCAAATCAATTCGTAAGGAACTAATTTTAAAAAATGCTTTCCTGCGCAACCTTTGTACACCATAGTCTGAAATTTGAAGATGCTGAGAGGGTTCAAAACCATGCAGGATTCCTCGTTAGCACACATACCAGGTTCAAGTGATAATAGGTAGCTTCTAATTGCTTATATGTATGTGTTCTTATCGAACCAGCTACGGTACTCCCTTGTTGTAAGCACAACATCTGGTCATTGTATCATCGTTATGTTTTGCTCTTATGTTGGATCTTCTTTCCAAGTATGTACCATCATTTCTCGATAAAGCTTCCTTTCTATTGGTACAATCACACTTTTGCTGGCATAGCTTTTTCCCTGTATTTTTCGGTGCAGAACTAGAAGCAGCCGCTGTTAATTAAGTTTGGCCTCATGGAACCAAACCAAGTACTCTTCAAGACTTTCATCCATTCGCGGTTCAGTAATTCACCCCAAAAAATTGTTTATTTTTTTTGGTCTCGATAAAAAGTATCAAATGATTAAACGATTGAACACACTATGACAAAACAGTTTGGACAGTAAATGATTTTAGAGTTACGTACGTTAGTGTAACTTGGAGCGTGTAAGTGTATTCATCATTATTGTCAGTATTTTTACTATATTTATGTTTTGCCTCACTGTTTTGTTGTTTTAATAGGTTGTTCGAGTGTTTTTTCTACAGTTATTTTTTATATTTTTTCTGGTCTGCAATTTGCAGTCTGCGTTTGTCGCACACTGCTTTAACATTATGCCCTACTGAATGGCTTGGCTTGAAGGCCAAAGTAAATGAACCATACATTATAAACGTGAGTGTGTGGCTCATGGGAAATTCGGCATTTGGCCAAAGCCTAACTTCGCAGTACATACATGCAATATCGATTTATCAAGATGTTTAGCTAACCTCCATCTTTGACAGCAGTAGTTTTAATGCTAGCCACATCTGATCCTGCTCCTGTCTCACTCACCCCAAGGCAAGCCACTAAATCACCTTCTATGGTAGGACGAAGAAACTGTTGTCGTAATTCTTCACTTCCAAACTTGATTAAAGCAGGTGTAGTCATATCTGCTTGAACCCCTATGGCCATGGGGACACCACCACATTTTATTCTTCCTGTTAAGAATAAAGCCACAAGAAAAGAACATATTGCATGGAATGATACTAATACAATCGCTGTTCCTTGTTCGTGATTCAACTGTGGATCCTATTTAATACTCCTTTTTACAGTTCCATTCAGTGACCATAAATAAAAGTTCCAAGTGGAGGTTGGAGTTGCAGCGCATAGCAAAACTATAGTTTATCATGCTTTATTATTTATTCATGGTCACTGAAGGGAATTGTAAACAGAACTATTCACATGGAGCGTTATGGTTTAGTGTTATTCTACTGGGGCAATTTAATCTGATCTTACTCTATCTCCTCTACTATATAAACATCTCTCTCACTCTTACTTCCTATTGACTCCGACGAAGGACTAACGTCCGAAACGTCAGTTCCTATTTTCACTACGGTGTATAACTTATCA